GTTCCAAGTTGTTGGTAAGAACTTTAGCACAAATAACACGGCAAGAGGCGACAAACTAAGATACAGAAAGAGAAGTCGTTTTTTCTCTGCGTTAAATGTAAACTCATACAATGAGTCAATGTCCGATATGGGTTGAAGACACTTTTAAAGGAAAACATAACCTGGCGCTCCAGATCCAAATGTGGTCCGCTCGCACGGAGTAAACAGAGAAACACTCACCGAACAGAAACTCAACTCGTCTCCAAACGACACTTTTCTTCCTCTGAGGATTACTCTGCGAGGTGAGTAAGAAGCGAGGCCTGTCCTCTCCTCTTCTGGGGACAACAACGCTGTCGCAGCGCTGTTAGATATGTTTCAGCGATGTAGCGACGGTTTCTTTGTTGCAGTAAACAGCAGCTCGATACATGCAGGCAGCCAGGGACCCGACGCTGAGTGTCCGTTTACTCCGCAGGACGGGCGCTGATTGGTCGCTTCTACCACAACACAACGTTCGGCTCGGAGGCTATTGGTTCAGGCTCCGATGGTGCGTTCATAGGCTGCTCGTAAACTCGGGCCTCCCGTTGTACCAATTTATAGAGCCGTACAGAAATAATACCGCTACTACTACTGCTACTACTGTTGTTACTATTACTGATACTACAGCTAATACTACTACTACTGCTACTACTGTTGTTACTATTACTACTACTGCAGATAATACTACTAGTACTGTTACTACAGTTGTTACTATTAGTACTACTACAGCTGCTGAGCCCGTTCTTAAGCTGCAAAACCTGTTTCTAAACTATTAGGTTGTCATTTTTAGGATACGTTGTGATCATCTGTTTTGTGATTTTATGTTAGTTTTCTGTAATTAATTAACAGATATGATTGCATATATGTTTTCATATTTCCTTTGATGGCATGTCAACTGCTATTATTTTATTTTATTATCTTCCTGATCATATCTGAATTGTTTATACTTGATTTTGAACTCTGACACGCCAACAGACAGTTCTGCTGCTTTAATATTTGTTTTGTTTACACTAAAACTGACTGACACTCATTTCAGAGCTTTCATTTTAACTGTCATAATCAACTTCTTTCAGTAACTATATTTCCACTTCATGATATATAAGTGCCACTTCAACTTCAACATTTTTCAGTATTTCAACTATTTCAGATGTTTTAGTTTGAAACTTTCAGCTTCAGGCACAATGCATTTTATGGTGTAAATGTAATGACACATTTAACATAACTGAATGAATTAAATCTGTTCTACTTTGTTTACCGCCATTTCTTTTTTTAATGTCATTTTCAGTTAGTACTACCTCCAGGATTCCGACAGCACTTAAATGCATCAGTATCCCCATGCTTTATTTCTATGTTCTTGAGAACATCCCAGATTGTGGTTTCCAACTGAATCGTTATCAATAAACAAATCACCGGGCTGTTAAGTGGATGTCAATTCAGATACGCAACCACAGTATCAATGTGCTGATCTGCTGTAATGTGGAATTCAGCCTTTTTCTGCTGAAACAAAACAGAGCAGGGCTGATTGATTTGCAGCTAGTTGTAATGAGGAAGTGTGCGCGCTGTGTGCCTGTTTGTGCTGAACAACCCCAACAGCTGCACTACACAATCAATACAAGCTAATGTCTCATGGCCATTTTTTAATGTAAGTCACAACCATGACATGTATGATGATGGATTATTCCAGTTTCCATCAGCCCACATCCATTGATTAATTCTGCTGTAGGAATTACACGTGAATTAGAGAGACTAAATCGAAATCGATGTTTATTGGCCCCTAATGTCTGAGCATGAAAAGGATCTGGAAGGTGTGATAGTGTGTAAGATGGGACTGTGTGTGTGTGTGTGTTAATGACACTTAATTACAATTTAGGAAGATGAAAACCGAAATTAGTGAATTCAGTAAATTGAACTTGTGCACTGGTCAATTCTGTCAGGAGCTATCTGGCTCCCCCTGGCGGTGGTAGTAGGTAAATACAAATAGTTCGTGAACTTTTTTAACATTCATACTCTCCACACTTTTTCATTTTTATATGTACAGTTCCTTAAACATGTGTAACACAGTAACACTGACGCACATTAATGTACAGCTTTTAGCACTTGTAATGTATAAAATAGAAACTGCACCATCATACATTGCATCTCCTGTATTCTACACATGTATACAGTACATTCCTACTTTTTATTTTACTACGCATGTGTATATGTATGTATTTTACTATGTATACTGAGCAGCTTTGGCACAAGAATTGCCTTAGGGATGACTTAGGTTCTATCTTGGGAAACTAGAGAAAGTTTTTGAGCTTCTTCATTCAAAATGAGACTATTTTACATTTCACATGTGCCCTGTATATTATTATAAAGGATTATTATTATTATTATTATTATTATTATTATTATTATTATTATTATTATGACTATATACAGTATAA